GTCTGTTGTGATGTTTCCCCTTTCATCTCTGATTTTGTTGATTTGGAGGTGCTCTTTCTTTCTTTTTGTTAACTGGGCTAGCATTCTGTCAATCTTGTTTATCTTTTCAAAGAACCAGCTCTTGGATTCTTTGAGTCTTTGTATTGTTTTCTTTGTTTCAATTTCATTAATTTCTACCCTGATTTTTGTTATTTCTTCTTGTCTGCTGGGTTTGGGTTTCATTTGTTGTTGCTTTTCAAGTGTCTTGAGTTGCAATGTTAAGTCATTTATTTGTGTTCTTTCTGATTTTTTGATGTAGGCACTTAGAGCTATAAACTTCCCTCTAAGGACAGCTTTCAGCATGTCCCAGAGGATTTGTTGTGTTGTATTGTCCTTTTCATTTAGTTCCAGGAATACTTTTATTTCTTTTTAATTTCTCTTTTTACCCATTTCTCATTCAGGAGTGTGTTGTTTAATCTCCATGTGTTCATGTGGTGACTGGGGCTTCTTCCAGTGTTGATTTTGAGCTTTATTGCATTGTGGTCTGATAGAATGCATGGAATTATTTCAGTCTTTTTGTATTTGTTGAGGTTTGTTTTGTGCCCCAGTATATGGTCAATTTTGGAGAAGGTTCCATGGGGTGCTGAGTAGAAAGTATGTCCTTTGGTGCTTGGGTGGAATACTCGGTAGATGTCTGTTAGGTCCATTTGATATATGGTATTGTTTAATTCAGATGTCTCTCTGTTAACTCTCTGCCCTGTTTACCTATCTGATGGAAACAGTGGGGGTATTGAAGTCTCCTACTATTAATGAGTTGGGATTCATGTGGGTCTTAAAGTCCTGTAGTGTTGTTTTTTATGAAGTTAGTTGCACCATTTGGTGAATATATGTTCATGACTGTAATCTCTTCTTGGCTTGTTGTTCCATTTATCAGAATGAAGTAAGCCTAAACAATTTTATATAATGGTAATAAGATTTCCTTAGATTTCCTTCTACTTGACTTTCAGTAACCATTCTTTCTGATGTTCTTGCTGGTACTTGGCTTTCTGATGGCGCTACTCCATCTCTGACTAGTCTCTGGCAGGATTCATCTTCTTTCTCACCTCACCCTCCTTTCCATGCTCCTCTATTTCCTGCCCTTGAATTGTCCCAGCATGGGCTCCACTCTCTTTCATTAACTGGATCTGTGGATTCTCCTGACTCGCCACCTCTCTGTGCATTCTCCCCTCTGTGCTCACAGCTCTTCTGCTGCTGCAAGGTCCTTATTGTGTTTGTTCCTCAAATCCGGGATTCCATTATATTCCTTCTGAGGACTATTCTGTCACCTGACCTTATTCATTTATATATATGTCCTTTCTTCCAGGACAGTTTCTTTTCTAACGCACACATTTATACATGTGTTATAAAATGTTTGTCAACTTCCCTTTGACTATAGAATGAAACTGAAAGCACATAGTGTGGTATCCAATACCTTTGCCCATACACTAACACAGTATTCATCATTGTTAACAGAAAGATGCATTCCCACCTGGGATTTGACAGTGATGGAAACATGCACCTCTTTTCTTGACTATATAAGCCTGGGATCATTCATCAAATCTGTAGTGGCTCTAACGTTTTCAGCATGCCAGTGGGTCTTCAAAGCCATTTGCTTTTAGATGATCACATGAGAAAACCATACCATTTACTTTACTGGCTTGTGGGACAGAGCAGTGTGCTTGATTACAAAGTTGACTCTCTCTCTCAATAGGTATTCCATCAAAGTGACAGTGGCACAGCCTATTACAATACAGGTCCGCACATCCAAGCCAGATGCCTTCATCAAGCTGCAGGTGCTGGAAAATGAAGAAAACATGATGAGCACAGTGGGAAAAGGCCAAGCCATAATCCCTGCCTTCAACTTCCTGGGGAGTGAGAAAGCCTTGAGTTCCCAGTGTAAGTGTCCCTGCTGGAGTCGGGTCCTGAATTCATGAGCAGACACTCCTGCTTTTGTGGCATTTAAAAACATTTAGTGTAAAGTAGAAACTAAAACTTGACACTACAGCAAAATATGTGGAAAACACTGTATTTGACAGCACTGATGCCATGGTAATTGTGTGTCTAGTTAGGCTCTAAAAACCAGTAGGTTGGTGATGGCTCTCCATTAAAGACTATGATTTGAGAAAAAAATTTATTTCTTATACATGAGTCTTTTTATTTTAAAGATTTATTTGCCTTTACTATGTGTGTTATGAGTGCCTATATGTATGGTATATGTACCACGTGTGTGCCTGGTGCCCTCACAGGTCAGAAGAAGGCATTGGATCTTATGGAACTGGAGTAACTGATAGTTGTAAGCCATGTGGGTACTGGGAACCAGTCCTCTGCAAAAGCAGCAAATGCTCTTAACTACTGAGCCATCTCTCCAGTCCCACATGAGCCCTCTTAATAAGTAGACTTTTTATTTTTTGAAAGAGTTTTTTTTATTTTGTTATCAATTCAATACTTTTGTAAAATGTTATCATTAAAATTAACATGAAATTTAAAGTCATTATTTCTAATATAATATTCTCAATGAGTTATGAAGGAAATTGTTTCCAAAATAATGCCTAAAAGTGGTACTGTGGGGTGTATTGTTTATTTGGTTATTTTAGTTATTTGATTCTGATTAAAAATAATATATGACAAATGCAAAAATTGGCAAAAATATAGAAATATAGAAAAAATAAATTAATTCATTACAGGTATGTACAGGTATGCTACTTAGGAAAATATATACTTAGTATTTTATTGCTGATATTCTAATCTCAGGGCAGGCATGGTGGCACACACTATTAAACAAGTATTTGTGGGCTGGAGAGATGGCCCAGCAGTTAAGAGCACTGAGTGCTCTTGTAAAGGACCTGGGTTCAAAGCCCAGCACCCACATGGTGGCTAACAACCATCCCTAACTCCAATTCTAGGGGATCCAATGCCCTCTTCTGACCTGCATGGGCATTGCACAATGTGGGTGCACCTACATAGATGCGGACAATACACTCAACACATAAAGTAAAATATTAATAATAAAGCTAGCATTTACATTTTTAAACAAAATTAATGTTTCACCTGGTTTACTGATTGACATTTCTTCTTAAAATCACAATTTTCTGAGCTGGGCATGGTGGTATATGCCTTTAATTCCAGCAATTGGGAGGCAGAAGAAGGTGAATCTCTGTGAGTTTGAGGCCAGCCTGGTCTCCATAACAAATCCAGGCCAGCTGTGACTACAGGGGGACCCTGTCTCAAAAAAAACTTTTTTTATTTCTTCTTTGTTCCATTGTTTGAAACCACAAACTAATGCTATATACAAGTGATTGTGTTAGCTGGTTTTACATCACTATGACCTAAATGCTGATGCAATCATCCTAAGAACCTCAGGGATTACAGCCCTCAGTTGACCAGCTCTATTATTTCTAGACCTGTGATTAAGCAGAACTTCATGGCAGAAGGAGATGGTGGCGCAAAGCAGCACACCTCATGGCATAGAAAGGAAGTGGGAGGCGGAAACAGGGCAGAATACTGCCTCCAAAGCTGGGATCCCACGGACCCACCTCTCCCAACCAAGTCCCAACTTCCTCAAGTGCTTTTTGTGTGAATTCATCAGTGGATTAATACACGGTTGAAGTTACTGCCTCACAATCCCATCACTTCTCAATAGCACCATGAGCTGGAGACCAAGCAAGCCTTGATTTCAGCACATGAGCCTTTTAGAGAGGCACTCATATCCAAATCCCAACACTCCTTCCTGGCCCCCAGTAGTCCATGTCCATCTTGTACTGTGAAGTGCAATTCGTGCACATCTAAGAGTTTCCAACATCACAATGGTTCCAGTGTTCTGCTTCATTAAAATTTTTGCTTTATTTTTACTTTATGTGTCTGAGTGCTTCGGCTGCATGTATGTGAGCACGCTCCTGTGTGAAATTGGTCCATTGTTTATCTAAAGTCCAAGTCCAAAAGCACTCCACTGGGATTCAAGGCAAACCCTTGGCTGTGAAATGATGATAAAACCTGAAAGAAAATTACTTTCTTCCAAGATACAAAGGTGCAGAGTAAATGTCTTCATTTCCAAAGGGAGGAATGAACAAATAGAAAGAAGGTTCAGGTCACAAGACTGAAACCTCACAAGGCAGACAGTAAACCCAGTAACTCCTTGTGTGGTACTGTGGTGGGGTCTGATGTGTGCAGGATGTGTGCAGTCCCACCCCTATGGCAGGTACTTCTGGCTACAGACCACAGGACCATTGTTCTAAAAACTCTATTCTA